AGTGCCTGGCTTGTTAACTCGGTATTTTCCTCCAATAAATACAGCATTTTCAGCGGTCAAATGATTTTTTTAGATGGGAAACTTTTTTGTTTGTTTTGTTTTGTTTTTTTGAGACAGGGTTTCTTCATGTAACAGCCTTGGCTGTCCTGGGACTCCCTTTGTAGACCAGGCTGGCCTTGAACTCACAGAGATCCCCCTGCCTCTGTTTCCCAAGTGCTGGGATCACAGAGGTGTGCCACCATGCCCTGCACATTGTGTGTTTTTAACAAAAATTTGCATCCAACTGTTATTACCAAAATTAATGTCACAATTTAAAAAGATAACTGGCAATCAAGCAATATCTACAGAGTACCTGGCATCTGGCTTAGTGTGGCATGTATGTAATCTTTTCTAAGAGAAACAGAGAGACTAATATATAAGGAAGGTCTGACAGCCTATAATCGGAAAGGAGTGACAGCACTCCAGAGGCTGAGGACTGTGAACTTGGGGCCAGCCAGGGCTACATAATGAGACCCTGTCCCCCAAAGAGAAAATCATTTTTAGGGGACAGAGAGAGGGTTCAGAGGGTAAGAGTGTTTGGTGTGCAAGCAAAAGGACCTGAGTTGATCCCTGACACCCACAGAAAAGGCCCACACTGTGGGGATTGAAGACAGGTAAACTGATGGGGTCAATCTTGCAAAAACAGCAAGCTCAGTGAAAGACTCTGCCTCAAGGACTTAAGGGAGAAACAGAAAGCAGAGCACCTGACATCCTCCACTGGCTTGCACGCACACACACATGCACAATGGATTCATGTTTCACTAAAGGGCAAGAAAAAATTTACTTGGATTTAGATAGTACTAGACACTGTCTAACAATTACTCAGTAGCCATACTGCACATAGTGTATCGTGTAGCCAACTATGGATCGGCTTCCATCTCACTGATCTGCCGAAGTGGCAGTTCACTTTTGGAAACTTTACCCAGAGTCCCAGGACTCAGCCAGTATCCTTAGAGCATAAAAACAACCCACACGTTGGGGCATATTCATTAATCTACACAGGTAGAAACTGTACTGTAGCATGAGCACCCACCTCACAGTCCCTGATGGAGGGAAATTAAAGTTCAAATCACATGAATAATAACTCTAAGGTTCCATCAGAGAAGACCTCCATCTATCTATTGAGGCTGTTGACAGAATCTAGTTATTGATACAACATATCATATACAATTATAATTTAAGGTAGCATTGAGCTAGACTTTATTAGGTTGCCTGGTGTATCTGAATTGTGATTTCTTCATTCCCAAGGTAAGGATAGTATTTGCCTCTTAAGATTATGACAATTAAAATAAAACAATAATCTTTGTCAAAGCGCATTAAGTGTAATGTATTATTAACATTTAAATGTTTTTCTCCTTTGGGGCTATTTATAATATAATTGAAGTTTCCTGTCTTACAAGGTAATTTACTAACATTATTGATTTTTAAAAAAATTAAACCATTCAAAAAATTAGGCTGGACATGGTCATCTCTATGTCTTTAAATCCAGTACAAGGCCAGTCAGATCTACATACAGACCCTCTTTGGGGGTGAGGGGTTGGTTGGCATTCTACACAGGACAGGAAAGGGCTAAGTACAACTTAATGATAACAAAAATAAAAATTTAAAGCTGCACTTTAATTAGATCAACTTGTCTGACATGGTCACTGGAACCAATTATTGTGGCCAAACAATGAAATGAACACTGGCTCCTTGAACCAAGAGGCTAGACAAGGCTGACTTGCCTCGTCCAGTGGAAATCCACAGCACAGCAAGAAAGGCAGGTGGAGTGCTGGAAAAAAGATTCAAGGACTGGTCAGGAGCCCATGGCCCAAGCGTGTCTGCTTTGTTCAGGCTATAAACAGAACCTGAATATATAAAAAGTACATGGAAACTTAACTTTTGAGAGATTCTTGAAGATACTAGCTAAAAATAAAACTAATGGATTTTCAGGAGAGGAATAAAAAAGGGTTGAGTGTGAAAATCTACAGGGGGAAGATGACAAATTTAAAATGCTCACTGCTTCTAATTAAGGAAATGGAAATTGGAGACTCTCTCTAAAAAAGTCCATGGGGAGTATATACCTCTATTTCTCCACATCTCTTTTAATACTGTGCTTAAATATATATTAAACCATTTTTAATAAGCTACAATCTGCATGTACACACACACACACACACACACACACACACACACACACACACTTAGAGATGGGTCAGTGGTTAAGAACACTGGCTGTTCTTCCAGAGGTCCAGGATTCAATCCATAGCACCCAATAGCAGCTCACAACTGTCTGTAACCCAGTTCCAGGGGATTTGACATACTTGTAGGCACAACACCAATGCACATAAAATAATTAAAGCCGAAACTGGCAACTGCCATTTCATCATTATTCTATTTAAAATGTGACCGTATTCAGTGTTGGGAAGAGAACAGGGAGAGTATCTAAGGTGCTCTGAATGAGAACGGCCCCCATGGGCTCATGTCTGAGTACCTGGTCCCCACTTGGCGGGACTATTTGAGAAGGAGGAAGTGGTGTGGCCTTGTGGAAGGAAGTCTGTCACTGGGGATTGGAGATTTCAAAAGACTAGTGCCATTCAATGTGGGCTCTCTGCCTCCTACCTGGGGTTCAGGGTGTGTGTCTCAGCTGCTGCCCCGGTCACCTGCTACCTTCTATTCACTCCACCATCATAACTCTACCTTCTGAAACCATAAGCCACAAACAAGCTCTTCTACAAGTTGCCTTGGTCATGGTCTCTCACCACAGCAATAGAGTAAAAAAAAAAAAAAAAAGGCAACTAAGACACTGGTAGCTACACATATGTGAATTTCAGTCCTTTTATGAAAATAATCTGAAATTTTCACAATTAGTAATCTATAAAGAATTCAAAAGAAAAAATCTATATGCACAAAAATTCTTAATTGAAATACTTCTTAAAACAGAATTTAAAAAAATAGGTAAATCTAATGTCAAGTTGGTAGGTAGTTTAATGCCAGCTTTTACAGCCAGGCCAGTGTTAAAAGAATGTGTTTAACAAACTGTACTGCCTAAAAGCAATGTAATAGTATAACAATCAAAGGAAGCTGATATGAAAATAAGATGGTCATTTAAAATCTAACATTAAAAATAAACCTAAAATTTTGTTTTTATTTTTTTAAGATACTTATTTTTATGTGTATGAATGTTTTGCCTGCATGCATTTCTGTGTACCATGTGTGCCTAGTATCCATGGAGACCAGAAGAAGGCACTAGATCCCTTGGAGCTTGAGTTACAGATGGTTGTAAATTGCCATATAGGTGCTGGGACCTGTATCAAGATCTCTGCAAGGTAGCCAGTGCTCTTAACCATTGAGCCATCTCTTCACCAACAAATTTTGTCTTTAAAACATCTGATATATCTGGTACCATGTTTTGAAAACACCTGGACTTACTTCACCAAAAAATGGGTAGCAATAATTACATTTTAGATACAATTCACAGTAATATTAACTTACAAGGATATGCAGGCATTTTCTATATCAGAGAAAATAACATAGCTACTCTTGATGAATAAATGGCTTATGACAGCTTTATAAAAATATGACAATTTCAACATCCTCTATACCAACACAAATTGCTGGGTTTATTTCTATGAAATACTTTATATTCTCATCTGTTTCATTAGCACAGCTCCACAGGAGACTACTGAAGCCCTGTTTCTGGAATGCTGCCCCAATTCTTCTCACCCAGGCCTTGTTGCCAGGGCTGCAGCTGCACAACCAATTCTTATTAAAATGGAGTCTTTGAAAAGCTGGTCTATGGGAAAGGCTATAAAGGATTTCATTATCTCTTCTCAAAACTCAGGGAGGGAGGGCTGCACTCCACCCTTCCCAAGGCACACAACCACTCAACGTCCCTCTCTGCCAACTTAAACACCAAGACAAAGGCAGCAGCTCAGCGTTAGGACAATGTAAGAAGTCATGACAGACAACACTGCACAGCAGTGAACCTTAACATCTAGAAGGTTATTTTCAAATGAGTGTAAAATGAGCTGTGTGGTCATGAGCCACAGACATGCTCACAATGGCTGTGACTTGAGGAACAACACTTCTAAAGAGTAAGCACTTGGGGAAAAGACTCAGCACTCTGTAACAACAACCAAGAATAATTTCACAAACAAAATGGGAAAACTGAAAGAATTCACTCACTTTGCTATTGTACTGAGGGCCCAACAGCTGCTTGGAGGAGAATTTTATGGATGGGTTACTCTCCTCCATTTTCAATAGGAGCACATGCCCTTTGGCTCTCTCAATAAAATTCTTTGGATCCTATCCTGGAACTTGCTCTGTAGATCAAGTTGACAGAGATCTGTCAGACTGACAGATCTGCCTCTGCCTCTCAGATGCTGGGACTAAAGGCATGTGCCACCACTGCCTGACTGGGCTGTTATCTTTTACATGTGCCTCATCAATCCTCTTTTTTTTTTTAATGTATTGGATCACATGACGAAGAGAGGATGAATATGATGGTTCTACCAGAGGAAAAATTTATGTTTTTAGTATTCTATTGTTGTTTGATTTTGTTTTGTTTATTTGGTCTTTGAGACAGAGTCATTCAGTATAATCCTGGCTATCCTGGAACTCACTATACAGACCAGGTGGTCTATGCCTGCCAAGTGCTACAATTAAAGGCTAGAGTTAGGCTACTAAACTGGCTTTGAAGAGCAGACAACCATTACAGATTGCTTTCATTGATAAAATGTAAGATTTTATTGATAAAATGTATTGTTTCTAACTGCAAGATGGCCATGAGAAGACAGACAACTGCCATGACCATCACATAGGCAATGAAAATGCTGTGCTTAACTTGAGGATTAAGCCATACTCTGGACTCTGACAAAATGAACTTACTGTCAGTGAGTGCCAATGACACAAAGAAAAACTATTTTGCCATCTAGCCATCAGTGACCACAGACTTACCACTCATCAATAGGGCCACTTACTCAGTTATCTCTGAGTGCAGACTATTCCATAAGACACACACAGGTGACTCTGCAGACTCAGTAGCAGTAGAAGTTGTCCCTGAAGATTTCTTCTTAGTTTCCCCGTTTCACTCAAAACTGGCCTTATCTGCAAATGAAAGCATGCAATTAGGAGGTAAAAGTGGCAGGGAGCAATTCCTCCCTCTATATAATTAAATGATACAACATTAAAACTAAACTCAAATGCTAGACTCACTAAGCACCATGTTTAAACAAACAACCTACTTTTCAAGCCTGTAACATGCTTATTACTCAAAGTTACCACCCTTTTCTCATCATATAAATTGATCGTTGGTTCCACGGTATGCAAGGTACAACTTATACCAAAGGTGGCCCACTGAGCAGAATCCAGGTAACAAGTCTTTGGTGGACATACACAAGGTTGGCTTATACACTGTGTTAAAGAACATCTTCCTGCATTGACAAATCTGAAGACATCCCAAGAAAAATTCAGATTTCTGCTCTCTTGAAAAATAAAATCAGACAACATGAAGTCTGCTCCTACGTGGAACACTATCAGATTGGATTAACAGTCAACTCCCAATGAGCATGGGCTTTGTGGTTCTCCAATTTCCTGTAGATAGGTGAATGGATAGACAGGAGTATACCTTATTCAGGCAGGTATTTGCAGCTAGGTACCACATGTGTGAATAACTATGAATGCAACCCAAAACAAAATTGTAAACTGGCTTTAAAACAGTGTGAGATTGTGTGTGTGTGTGCGAGCACTCGTAATATGTAACTGAGTTACCTGTTTCTCAAGGATGAACTTTGCAGAGGACAACATAAAAAGCTAGATTGAACATGCCTGGATGCAACAATGAATGAACTACTATAGGGGCTGTGGAGACAGCTCAGTAGGTAAATGTTTGCCATATGAGCGTGGAGATCTGAACATAAAAAGTTGGATGCAGTGGCACACATACGTGACCCCAGTGATGAGGGGGCCAAGATAGGTAGATTCTGGGGATTTGCTGGTCAGCCATTACATCCAAAATGCCAAGCTCCAAGTTCACTGAAAAACTGCTCCAAAATATATAATGGAGGGGGCCAGTTCAACCTCAGAGATCCTCATGGTGAAAGAAGGGAACCAATTGCCTCAAATTGCCCTCTGACCTCCACATATGTGCACATATAAACCCACACATATATTTATATGCATACACATATAAAATAAGTAAATGCAAAGAATTCTGAAATAGTGCCAAAGGAAAATAACACACTTCTAGCCTTTACATATCCACACAATAATAAGCACACACACACACACACACACACACACAAAAATGATTACTATACATACATCAACATGAATGAATCAGAAAATAATTACTATGCTGCATCAATAACCCACATGGCAAGCATACATAAAACCCAGCACTGTGAGGAAATTTTATATATGCACATGCATACATGTATGCATGCTCAAACACACACACACAAGTATGCTGTAAAAACCTATTTATAAGCCGGGCGGTGGTGGCGCACGCCTTTAATCCCAGCACTCGGGAGGCAGAGGCAGGCGGATCTCTGTGAGTTCAAGGCTGGGCTGGACCGATAGCCTCCAAAACAATACAGAGAAACCCTGTCTCGAAAAACCAAAAAAAAATTTTTTTAAACCTATTTATATAAATTCTAAAAAGCAAAACTAGTCAGGCAATGGTGATGAACACCTTTAATTCTAACACCCAGGAGGCAGAAGCAGGTGGATCTCTGTCTCTGTGAGTTGGAGGCCAGACTGGTCTACAGAGTGAGTTCTAAGACAGCTAAGACTACAGAAACCCTGTCTCAACACCTCCACCAAAAAAGAAATAAAGAACTAATTTCTAGTAACAAAGAACAGGTGTCAATTGCCTGGAAATGGCTGTGGGTAAGCAATGAAGAGGACTACAAAAGACTGAAAGCAAACTTTTGTGGAGATAGATATTTTCAGTTCTATTTTTTGTTACAGTGGTTTTGTGGTGCTGGGGTCACACCACAGCCTTGGGCACCCCAGATAAGATTTGGTCCACTGTCTGTTCCCAGCCTCAGATTTCCAGCAGTTTGAGTATGGTATCCCTTCATGGGCATATATGTATGGCAAATTTTATCAAACTGAACACTTTTAAAATGTTTAATTATTCTGTTTAAAACCAATTAATTCAGTCGGGCGTTGGTGGTGCACGCCTTTAATTCCAGCACTCGGGAGGCAGAGGCAGGCGATCTCTGTGAGTTCGAGGCCAGCTTGGTCTACAGAGCAAGTTCCAGGACAGCCTCCAAAACAATACAGAGAAACCCTGTCTCGAAAAACAAAACAAAACAAAAAAGTTGACTCACTGTAGATTGATAATTAGTAGCAAGACTGATTTACAAGAAAGTTGGACCCTCTCAAAGCACTTAAGCTTGACACATAGTCACAATCTTTTCAGAAAAGGCTTTCAGAAATGTATACAATGCTAAGTATCAGAAACTTTGCTAATTGCAAAGAAAGCATGAGCTAAAACAGCACTGAATCCTAATATAAACAGGCATTTGCAAAAAGGTAATTCAATTAGCTATTATTTATTCAGTTCAGTAAGTATAGTTCCTTAGTCCTTTATTACATTTGGTAGGCATCAGTTCTTTGTTTTCTAATTAAATCATCTCACTGTCAGCTAAAACTACATTTTAATGTACTCACCCAAAGATCATTTATGAGGTCATTACTGGCATGTACTAAATTCTACTTAGAACCCCCGAAAAGCCAAGAAGCCACAGACAATCTACCTTAAAAACCAGCGTGTGGGGCTGGAGAGATGGCTCAGCGGTTAAGAGCACTGACTGTTCTTCCTAGAAGACCCAGGCTCAATTCCCAGCACCCACATGGCAACTCACAACTGTCTGTAACTCCAGTTCCAGGGGCTCTGACACCTTCACATCAATGCACATAAAATAAATTTAAATAAATCATTTTTAAAAAACAGTGCTTTTTAAAACCACACTACACACCACTTTTCCCACCTGCCTGCTGTTCACAATGAAGAGACAGCACACTGCATTACCTCTCTAGTTGAGTTTAAGATGCTAGCACTCTCCACACAGAAACTTGTTTTTCAAAGTATACATCAGAGTGCCATGAATGAAAAGGATTATCTTTAAAGAAATGAATTGACATCTTCAAACACTTTCAAGTAGTCACAGAAAAGTTAAACATGTTCTCTAACATCCAGAGAAACAAAATGAGCTCTCAGGGAAACCACTGGAACACCGCTGCCTGAAAGTAAAATATCCTGCTTCAGGTATATACTATCAGGTCATCAGGATAGTGGATCGTGACTAAAGACCCCACTGATGGCTGACACCCAACTATGATTCCTGCTAATCCCTAGACCACCTTATATAAGAGTTTTAATATAAGTGCCAATACACTGTAACGAAAAAGCCCTAAGCTTAAACTGGTCAAACTGTAAGTCTTACAGAATTTTTTTATTTAGTTCCCACTTTTCCCAAATGGATAGTAACTCACATTAACAGAACCTGATCCTACTCTTCTAAATAATTTATAAACTTGGTGTGGTGGCACATGCCTTTAATCCCAGCATTTGAGAGGCAGAAGAAAGAAGATCTCTGAATTTCAAGTCAGCCAGGGCTACATAGTGAGACCTTGTCTTTAAAAAAAGTACTCATTTCCTTGGTCATTTAAAAAATCAAATAGCATGCCTGGAGAGATGGCTCAGCGATTAGGAGCACTGTCTGCTCTTCTGGGGGACCCAGGTTCAATTCCCAGTACCCACATGGCAGTCACAGCTAGAACTCCAGTTTGAACTGCTGGGATCCGGCCTACTCACAAAGACAAATATGCAAGCAAAGACCAATGCACATAAATTAAAAACAAAATTAAAAATATATATAATAGCCTGACCTGGCAGTGATAGTGTACACCAAGGCAGAAGGATCAAGGCCAGTGAGCTCAAGGCCAGCCTGGTTTACAGAGTGAGCTCCAGGACATCCATGGATGTTACACTGAGAACCCTGTTTCAAAGATAGATAAAAACACCACCATACCAAAAATCAAATAGTCAGTCTCTTTTTCTTCCCAAATACAGATTGCTCAGAAATTTAGTGCAAACTTCTGATTTTAGAACCATCCAAAAATCACAATTACTATACCATCTATGACCACTGCAATGAGCCTCTACTACTTACTTTCTCTGTAAATAAACTACAAAGAGATGACTCAGCAGTTAAGAGCACTGGCTGCTCTTGCAGAGGTCCTGAGTTCAATTTCCAGCAACCTCAAGGTGTCTCACAACCATCTGTAATGGGATCTGATGCCCTCTTCTGGAATAAAGGATACATGCAGATAGAACACTAGTATAGATAAAATAAATTAAAAAAGAGAGAGAGAAGAAGGAGGAGGAGGAGGAGGAAGAGGAGGAATATAACCCTTCACATGAATAGCATAAGGGAAAAGTTATCTGGTAACCATATAGCAGTGGTGCACTGTTAGCTCTAGAGTCCTGATATATTTTGCTGTATCTGTTGGTGCTGTTTACATTCCTAGATGTAGTAGGTTTACTAAAATATATACAGACAAAGGTTATACTCCTAGGAATCATTTCTATGTTTTAAAATTCATACAAGTGAGGATAGCATAAATGAGGCAGTTTTTAAAAAGGAGGCCTACTTCTAAGTGTTGAAATTTCAAAACACGGTGGGAAAGGATGCAAATGTGTTTATCATCACTCAAAGAAGAGATGGGGTTATTAGAATGATCTACTGGTGGGAATGCAAAGCCACATAACCTGTGGGAAGAGTTTGAAGATTTTCAAAAAAGAGAAACTACTTATGGAAACCTGTGGGCTATAAGAAATACAACATGGCACTGAGGAAGGAGGATCCAGAGATTGAATTCTAGCTCTGCCACTAGAATTAAATGGGCTAAATTTAAGCAAGCTACATATCCTCTCCAAGCCTCAATTTGCTAAACTATAAAATGAAAATAATCCATAAAATTACTATGAGGTTTAAATTAGGCTAATATCCGTGAAATGCTTATGACATAGCCTGGCACAAAGTAAGACTCTAAAATGTAATTATCGAATCAAACTTAATGTGATATTACATCAT